TGCCTGGAAATTGCACTCAACAGTCCGATGGGCGACAGGCATATACTCAAGCGTTACACAAGGGAATCAAGACGTGGGTGCGCCTCCCAAAATATCGCTGGCCGAAAGGTTGGGCCTCAAGTTTAGCGATCCGGTGGTGCAACTTGTTCTTGCTCTCCATGGTCACCCGGATTCGGGGGGTCTGTGGGAGAAGCATTGTGAAGACATTCTTTTATTCCTTGGTTTCCGTCTTGTATACCCTGGAGCCTGGCCTTCAGTTTTCTAGCATCCGAAACTTCGACTCCTGCTCGCAGTGTATGTCGATGACTTCAAGATGTCGGGTCCGGTTAAGAATGTTGCAAAAGGGTGGGAACTCATTTCTTCCAAAATTGATATGGATCCACCTTCAGCAGTCGGCAGATACCTCGGATGTGAACACATTGTCACGGAGAAGGTTCGTCTTTCACCAGAACATCACCCTTTCGCTCATGTTTTCAACCATGACCTGGAGGATCCATCCGGCAAGACTGCAGCTGCTGCTCGCCGAACTCAGGATTACTGGGAACACTATCCAGAACATGGCGTGGTTGTTTGTCAACATGAGCAACCAAGGCGCAAATTTCGCCGCACGCCTAGCGGTGTTGCCAAAGAGATTGGGTTGGGCGGGGCGCGGTGCACAGAGTGCAGTCCATGTTTTGACAAAGACGGTGCTGCTCAACAGTATTGGCATTTCGACGAAGACGATGATCAAATCCAGACTGTCCCTTGTTGGAGCCACGTATTTCTTCCATGAAAGCGTTGGTAATGCCCGCCGGCAGCGGCCGTGAAGAAGCTGAGGGATAAGACGTCCGCCAAGAAAGCCAATCGAGCCAAAGGTTTTTCATATCTTGATGAACTGTTTCAGCATCAACCTTGCATGGACAAGCCTGTCACCCTGGTTACCTACGACATGACCGGATTCCTCAAACAATGCCTTGACAGATATGTCGAGCTTGCGGGGGGCAATGTCCAATTCAAGAAGGTATCCTCTCCATTTCAGGATGACCGCATTGCAAGACCCACCAAAGATGACACGGAGAAGAAGGGCATTCTACAACCCATCGCCTCCAAAATTCTCATGAAGGTTCTGTTTGCTGCGCGGATGGCCCGTTTTGATCTATTGAGAGCGACCCAGGGGCTGGCTTCTCGCGTCACCAAATGGTCCGTTGATTGTGACCAAGCGCTCTTTCGGTTAATGTGCTATATCCATACCACAGTTGATCGTAAGATGCACGGTTTCGTTGGTGATCCCTCATCACGAACCCGACTTTGGTTATTTGCGGACTCGGATCATGCTGGCGAACACGATTCCCGCAGTACATCAGGGTGTTTTCTTGCATTGATTGGTCCTAATACGTTGTATCCTTTGACTGCTTTCTCCAAGAAGCAGACTTCCACTGCGATGTCATCCACTGAAGCTGAGGTGATTGCCGCAAATGTTGCATTGCGTGCCGTTGGACTTCCGTCTTCCTGCCTCTGGGAGATCATACAGTCGGCGGGGGGTGGTAAAGAAAACCCAACATGCACTATCACCCCATCAAGAACTTCAGATTATTGGGTCAGTGACACAGTCAATGGATACATAGTCAGAGTTCACAATAAAAAGAGAACCCAGTTGTTTGTTCCATCGAACGACGACTGCCCGGTTAGGACCGAGGCCTTGTCCAGCACAAGATATACGGTTCAACTCTTTGGTGATGGCAGTGTTGACCTCAATGTGTCTCGAATTTGCCCAAATGATTCAGACTACCAAACCGACTCCGTGGGACTGGCAAGACGTACTTCTTCATGCGGGGGGCCGGCGAGGCAAATCTCGAAATCGAAGCCAAAGAGATCAGGGACAACCTCACGGACTTAACTGTTCTTTTGAAGGCGTTTTGCTCGAGGACAACCACGCTACAATCCGCATTCTTGAAAGTGGTAGGTTTCCGGTTTTCCGCCATACTGACAAGACTCAACGTGTTAATCCTGCTTGGTTGGCGGAACAATTCAGGCGGAAACACTATAAGCTTACACACGTGTCTACGGAACTTCAGGCTGCAGATATTCTCACGAAGCCTTTCACAAATGCCGAGAAATGGCAAGGAGGGCTCAAGCTAATGAATATTGCTAGCAAAATGGACGTCTCAGGCATGCCGGCTGCTGTGTTGCCACGCCTGGAGAAATCCGAGGCCAGGAACACGGGGGGTTCCCCTAATCGTATTCTGGTCGAAGTTTGCTGTTCACACGAATCGAAGCTTGGTGATACTTCGCGTCGTCCCGCCGTCGGCTGCCACGTGATTCGGATTACACAGGACAATGATATTCTTTCTCATGCCGCTCGAAAACGTGTCGTCGATGAAGTGAAGCGCATCCGCTGTATTAGCAACAAGGTTTCTATTCCTGTATTGTTATGGGCAAGCATACCTTGCACTGGCGGTACTGCGTGGTCTCACATTAATGTGAATCATGACACGGCGGAAGAGAAGGTGAAGCGACATCGTCTGCCTTCGTTGATCTCGTGAATTCCATGGAGTTTGCCAAACCGTTGATTGCGATTGAATGGCCAAGGAGTTGCACTTATTGGAATGAGACTGCCGTCGACAAGTTCGTTATTCGAAACAACATGACTTTTGTTAAATTTGATGGTTGTGCTGTTGGTGTCAAAACTAGTGATGGGGTTCCAATGAAGAAACCATGGACTATAAAGACCAACATGCATTGCCTCCACAATTACTTTGATGGAAGGGTGTGTTCTTGCACTGTTCAACATGCTGAAGGTAGGGGACGGAATCTTAAGAATACTGAATCCTACACGTACATCATGACCGACTTGATTCACAAGGCTTTTGCTTATGCAGTGTCGGTTCAAGAGAAAGTTGCTGTTGCTTGATCAGTCAAAGGCGTCCGCGGCTGGTAGCAAGAATCAGCCCGGAGAGATCCGTGGCCCGGAGGTCATCCCCAAGGCGAAGGCGGCTCCAAAGCTGCTGGAAAGCCCGGGGAGACCCGTGGCCAAGCGACGGAACCGAAGCGGGAGTGGATCAAATGCTCAGGAATCAAGATTCCCCAGATCCAGAACTTTGGGAGACGGACCTTCTTGAGCAAAAAGATCTCGTATTTGGTTCGTGGACATGCCCACGAACATGCGACACGATCCATCCCTGAAATCAATCTCAAGGATATCTCTCTCGACTATGCGGCCGTCACCAAATGGATCCAACGCCGGTATGACTGGAACTGTTCCCAATACACCCTGTTGCAGGCCGCAAGCACGTCGACCAGATTCGAAGTCTTCGTTGCGGATGCTCCGCCTGGACAACAGTGGAACGGACTCAGTTTCATGCCTCTGAGGATCCGAGTGGGCCCCGACCGCTTGCCGTGACATGACGAGGCCTCACCGAATCGGGAACGTGACCAAGGTGAGGGACGTCTATGACGAAAACCTCTGGTCCCTCGAGTTTGAGACTGCTCGGTACGGTCTTTATAGGAACTGGGCTCGTGCGGTACAGCAGCAGCCCGTGGAGACCCGTGGCCGGAGCGGACTTTGGCAGGACCTTGACCCCAACAAGAAGCAGACGACCAACTGGCGCTTCGCGGAGGTCGTGCACATCCCTGATGTCGAGTCTTCCCGCTGCAAGATCATGATCCCTGAGGGCACAATCAATTGCTATCAATGCGACAACCTCATCGAACGCATGCCCGACAGCAAGAAGATCGCAAGGGTCATCCGATTGCAAGAGATGGCCAACAGTTTGGGCGTGCCGCTTTCGATGGACCAGGTCGAGACCCAGATCTTGACGCAGCGGAAAGACGCAAGAGGCGGCCGGAGCGCGAGAGGGGGGCTGGGCATTATGAAAGACATTGCCAAGAAAGCTGTTCTTCGCAACAAGGAGTACAAGACTCTGTACGAACGGCTTATCAACGACCCCTTTTACGCCTATACGGCCGCGCGGGGAGACCTGACGCCATCCGCCCTCGAATTTATCGAGAAGGTCGCACGATGCATCATCCCGAGTTTTGAACGAACAAAGGAGATGATCCAAGGAAGCGTCGCTGTGCTCAAGTATCCCGCACGGCTAACGCTTGTGCCGCCTACGGAAGACGTCAAGGAAATCGACCCCACGGATGTGTATGTGGTTCATGGAGGAAGATTCCTGGAAACTGAGCAATTTGCCGCCTTGTGCGGGAGCCTTGACAAGAGCAACCGCTACCCTGTGATGGGCTGAAGCCGGGATTTCAAATCGGTAGGAGATCCCGAAACTGTCCTGGTCGAGTTGCCCTGCTTCGTCGAGGAGGAGATCCCTGGCATTCAGATTCCTGGACGAGCTACCCCTCTTCCCGCAGTTGTTGGGGTGACGCGCAAGCCCATCCCTCAGCTCCGGGAAACCGGTAGCCAATGGCAAGATCAGCAGTGGAACCAATCGTATTGGGGAAGCTGGGGGCAGTCCTGGGGCTCGTGGTGGTCTGATGATCAGCGCCCGTGGAAGAGCTCTCGCAATTGGGACTGGCGATGAGTGAGCAATCTCATCAAACCTTTTGGTATCTTCGGCTGACATCCAATTATACTTCAAATTCAATTTTCATTATACTTGTCAACCCACGTTGGCCGAGGATCAATGTACAGGCATGAGCACGCCTCGCGAGACGACGGTCAGTGGAGGCGGAAGACCTTAACTGCCAGTTGCTCGTGTCCAAGTGCTTGTGTACTGCAAAATGACATCATGCCGGTCGGGTTTCCTTGGTTGTTTCATCCCTTTCATATGTCCTCCTGTTTCACATTCGGGCACGGGGGGTGTAGTTTGCAACGTGATGTATTTATCAATCATGTAAAACCCCAATGCATGAGTGTCTCACTAGCGCAGTCTCGCCGTTACGACTGCGCTTGGCTCAAGTAAAAAGCGTTCATTGTTGACCCTTCCTGGTTGTTTAACCTGTTCTATAGACTGCGATGTTCACAGGGGGTACGATTTGGCTTTTGACCAATGGCTTCATCTGACTCCCAGGTGGTTCATGTGCTCGGGGATCCTCTTCGTGGGGGTGGTGGCGGGCTTGCTGGGCGGGGACCTGGCGCGGGCCCCCGTGGACTGCGCGGTGCTGGGGGGCGGCGCCCTGTGGGCGCTCTCCAACTTCGTGCCTCGATGTCCGGATTTGCGGCGGATCTATCCAGCAAAGAATCGGGACTTTTTTTTTGGGTCTTCTTTTTTTGTGTAAAATCCCAAGGGGGTGGATCCGCAAAAGCCACACCCAGGCCGTTTCCTGGAAAAGAGCATTTTCTGAGAAGAGGGGCTAGACTGGTTGGCTTCAGTCTCATTTCCAAAACAATCCCCAGAACCCCTGAATTCAAGCCTGTGGGCAAGAAATATGGGTTTGTGGCGGGTTCCCCAATTTGGATCCTCCGCTCTAAAACGGGCATGGCACAGGGGACCCTCAAAACAAGACACACAAATGTACGAGGCCCAGTGGGTTACCCGAACATTTCCCTGGAAGAGTTCAGAAGGGAGCCGACGCACAAAGCCACCTAGAGGGTTGCCCAAAACGTGGATGCCCTTTTCGGGACCCATTGGCGCCCGGTTCAAAGATCAATGTGGCGCCCAATCCGCCGGGCCAACGGGCCAAGGGTTTGTGGGAAGGTTAAGGAACAAAGGTGTCCTTGAGTGTGGTAAAAAATAGAAGGCACTTGGTTAGATGGGTTTCGTTGCATTTACCAGGGCCATCTTTTTTTTCAAAGGACACCTATGTTTAGGAATCCAGTTGGATGGCGACCAAACCCTCGAGTGAGGCGGTGCTGCCGCTGGTGAAGCTGCTGGGCATCGGCCTGGGCTTCTCCTTGTACCACTTCCAGAACATGATCGTAGGAGCGGTGCGCAGCACCTGCCGCGGTGGTTTGGTTGGCCGTAGGGGCGGTGAGCAGCACATGCCGCGGTTGAGTTTTTTTTGGGCTGCCAAAGCCGGCTCCAGCGCTGATGTGTGGAGTGTCTCTTAGTCCCCTGGTGTCCACGGGCTGATGAACCTGGTGGCCAAGCAATCAAGGATTCCCCAAATTGTTGCGAATCCGGAGGCTCAAGTCGAGGTAGCAGGTTTTTGCACGAGGTCCCGTCAGAATCACTGGTCTGTGGCCCACGGAATTCCCCACACACAAAGCCAGCGGACGAGCTCTGAATGTCTCACTTTCTTGGGGGAAGATTCGTAATTTTGAATGGGGCTCAATTTGATAGATACCCAAGCCATTTACCCTCCCACCAATCAACGTGGAACCTGACGGGGGGTCCTGGAACACCATTTCCTTTTCAGGGGTCCCCCTGACGTTCTATGTGAGGGTCATTTCCCCTCAACCACTTCCTCTCGAGGGAAAATTGGGACTGGGGGTTGCGCAGGTTACCTGGTGGGCCGCTTTGGAGCCTTCGGCGTGCCCTGCCTGGAGCCGGCCTTCCCGGGCAGTTACCCGCTCAGTTGGAGTGTGCTGGGTGTGCGCAGGGGGGCGAAGGAGAGGTTGTTTGGTCGCTTAAAAGGGTAAGCCATGGGGAAGTTTACTCAGATTCTTTTGGTTGAAGTCGCTTTGCAGGAATCCTCATTCAGGAGACGTTCTCAAAACGGGAGAAAACTCGAAAACGGCTTTTCCTTCGGTTTCACTTTGGGCGCTCGTATTTTGGGTTATTTCCCACAATCATGATTGGGCACAACCCTCTTGACCACTTGCCACCGGATCATGCCACCATCAACGGCTCTGTCCTTCTAAGGTTGGCCCGGACTAATCAACCCAGCAGATTGCGAAGAGAGCTCCCCCTGAAAGTAAAGGATTCCCTCATACACGGGACAGCCCCCCTATCAAGTTATGTAATCCTGGGTTCTGATGATGTACACTTTGTAGACCCAAGTAGAACGCCATCGCACGGCTTCTTTCTGGCCACGTCTTGAGGAGCTCAACCGAGTGGGTGCCCTTGACAATTCCGCGTGCAACGCTTTGCTTAAAGGGTTGGGCGGAAGCCGTGGGCGAGTGGCTTTTTTTTTTTTTTTTGGAGGGGGGGGGAGGAAACCCCAAGGAACACCACATTTTTTGGAGTCAGAAAGACACCCAACTGGCCGGAGTTTGGACGAGGTTTGTACATTTGCGACCTGGGCTGCGGGCTGATCCTTGTGTCCTTCGTGCGGGGCCCCAGGATCCCCAAGTTTGCGGCCTGGCCGGATCCCACCTCATGTAACAGGTTTTTCTGGGGCCAAGTGAGGGGTTCCCCGGTGCAGGTGGGCCCCCCAGGTCACACAGCGCCCTTTACCTCAAAGTGCCCTTTGCCAATGGCTACCCGGCTGCCCAATGAACCAAGTTCGAGGGGTCAAGGGCGCCTTGTGACGTGCGGAAATGGCGCCATGCAGGGAGAAGCTTCTTCCCCCAATCTGCCGCTGGCGCTGGCTCATTGCGAAACTCGTGGGTTGAAAACTGGTTTCGTCGGTGCTGATCATGTACCACTGGGACATCTACTGGTAGGCTACTGAGTCTACTGTTGCTTTGGGGGGGAGGGACGCACATTTCCTACAAAAGCAGGGTCACGATCCAATTTGCCCAGCCCTTTTGGGGGAACAACTAGTATTGTTCGTGGGTCGAACGTTTAAAAAAGGACTTTGTGCACGCGAGAGGTTGCCCTACTCCTCGTCGAGGGTGACAATGAGAAGGAAGCAGCCAGCTCCCCAGCCCCTACAGCGCCCTAGCCCGCAAGAGCGGGCGAGCTGCAAGTTAACTTGGGACCAAGAAAGGGAGGCCTTTTCCCAAAACAAGAGTCCGTTCCCCAAACACCATCAGACTTCGCTCGCCATTTCCCCTTTGGGGGGGGGACTTGCAAGTGTTCAAGCTCTGCATGCCGAGGGCTGAAAATTCTTTCCCTTTGAGGGGTTCAAGCTTCACCTTCGCGGCGGGCCATTTGAGAGGGGGGTCTCGAAGGGAGGGTGCTTATATAAAGGTGACATGTATGGAGCTCTGCCCTACCTCGCGCACGTTTTCCGGAAGCTATGATGTTTTGGCAAAAGAGATGTGCACGTACTGCATATAAGTATGTACTTGTTTGAATTTTCCCGCCGAGGTTCTTGCTGAGGTGGCTTTTCGGGGATTGTCGGCTTTCCTCTCAAAGGGATTATTTTCCTTTGTTTGGGTGACACTCTAAGCAAACAGAAGCTATCCGAAGGTGCACGGGAAGAGCCAGATCGAGCAGCCCGAGCTCACCGAGAAGACGCAGCCTGGCAGCGCTTTGTCCACCCCAGGCCTTTGATCACTGCAAACTTGCAGCCATCCCATTTTGGCTTCCAGGGGCTTGGGCCAAGAAACGCATAGGGCCCTTTGAGGTCAGTTTGGCAGATCCATGGCGCTGGTCTCAGCTTGGTTCTGATTTACTAGTGCCATTTGTTTTGCCACAAAGGATGCCTGGGATCTTGAGGCCTTGCGCACCTGATAGGTGCTAGGGGTCAAGAGTCAAGAGCCTATGTTTTCCTTGGCGGCAGCCGCCATTTTACAAAGCTGTTTCCTGGCTGCTTTAGGCTTTAGGTATGGTTAGTGGTGATTGGCCCAGTTTAGGGGAACTGAATGAATCCAAGGTTCATTTTATTCTTGTTTCGATGGTTGAACAAACGCCCGGCCCCCTCCATGTTTGTAGCATCGACCCTGCTGAGCCCTATTCGGCCCCAAAGGCACTGTGGATGGAGAAAATCCCGCATCACTTGGATGAAGCCCTATGACTGAGTGACTGCTGGGCATGTTGACTCACAGCCTGAGCCCTTGAAATGGGCTGGCAGGAACCTCCGCCTGGAGTCGAGCGCTTTCTCCGCATTTGCGCTGGAGGTGGAGGAGGAAGAGGAGGAGCCGTCCTCCGATAGGGCTGGTTCTGCCCATTTTCGGGGCGAGCTCGCGTGGGGGTAAAACGAGCTCACCGTGAGGTAAGAACGTTTCTTGGAGATTCCTTACCCCAGGCATGTTTTTTTTCTTCTTCTTCATACTTTGCACATGGTTTCCACTATATACCTTTACCTCTTGGCGTCACGTGTCCACTTCCATGTGTGGCAACAATCGTTGGACCCGACCTGTCCGGCTGGACTTGTTTGCCAACGGCTGCCGGGCACAGCTCTTCCAGCAAACGGAGCCAGTTCAGGTGAGCCCATGCCGGGCTGGAGTGGCTCTTTGGGGTCCTTTGCTGGTGTACAATAAGGGGTAGAATAATTGCACGCAAAATTGTCGTATCGCCCTCGGAGACAGTTGTACTGTCAAAGGGCACAGGTGTTGTGGACTGACTGTGTGTCACAGTCAGACCGTTTCCGCCACATCGCCGCTAGGAAAAAGAAACTTAATTCTGGAAGTTCAGATAGAACTCTATACATGTCCGTATACCATATATCGAGTGTCTTGATATTTCAATTAAATATACGAAGTTTCGTACAGCAAGACGATGCATCATGTTTTTTTGACCCCCCCAAAAATCAAGTCTAGTTAGTTATAGCCCTTGTACTTTGTGCTGTTCTTCTACTCTTTGCCACAGGGCTGGATGTCGGCATCCAAACCGCACCCGGCCTGAGGCCCCTCCGCGGGAAACAAGCCAGCCGGGTAACTCCCCCCACTCTGGAAGTGCACAGGCTCGTTGCGCACCAAGCCATGTTCGTTGGTGGAAGCGTTCATGCGTTCTTGGTTCTATGTGGGAGTGTGTCAAAATAGGGACCTGAAAAGTGGCGGTTTTCCTTTTGCCCCAACTTGAAAAGATGCCCTCAAAAGAGCATGCACGCAACGAGGTACTTCCCATGTTGGGATCCTAACTTTCAAGCCTTTTGACAGAAGCCTGATGGCTTGCATCCCCGAGTTTCTCGTGCCTAGGGTGTGAGCCTGAACTCAAAATCCCTCAGTTCCAGTTCCGGGACACTTTTCAGTTGAGGACATTTCTCGTGGCAAGCATCAGCTCCCCACTTGTTTTGGCCAATTCTGGGAAGTGGGCGGCCAACCCACCGGGCTGCGAGGAGGTTCGGAGCCCCGAGACGGCGCCGCCGGAGGCGGCCAGGATGCCGGGGGAATGGATGGGCAACCTGTCAAGTCGCAGCTTTCCTTCGGTCTCCTTTCACACCGAAGGGTGAAAAGGGGCCCCCCCTCCCACAAAAAAGCAACAACAAACAGCAACACAAAAACAAAACACACATCCAAACGGGCAGAACTTGACATGAACCCCCAACTTTCTTTTTGGGGGGAGGGGGGGAAGGGAGAAGACTCGGAAGGATACCCTCAGTGATTGCGTATTCGGGCCCGGCAGAAAGACAGAGATTGCCTTGAAGTTGGGGTGAAAGCATAAAGGGTTCCTTGGCATTTCATAGAGGCGACATTTGTGCCACAACAGCGGGACACTGCAGCCCAGCTTCTGAAACGTCGGCAGCGCCGGGATGGAGACTACTACACAGGATTTGCGTTTCAACATGAGAGTGCAAGAAAAGGCGAAACTACAGCCCAGAAGGTAAACTGGCGGCACCGGGCCGGAAGGAGATGGCTTAGAGTTTAATAATTCACACGCACCTTTTTTTTCCTTCTAAAATTTGTATTTAAATATATATATATATATATATATATATACATATATACATATACACCTGTATAGATGCAGTATCTTTCTTTTTGCCTCTCTCTCTCTCTCTACAAATATGCACACACACACACGTGTGTGTGTGTGTGTGTGTGTGTGTGTGTGTGGGTGGGTGTGGGTGTGTGGGTGTGGGTGTGGGTGTGGGTGTGGGTGCGGGTGCGGGTGCGGGTGCGGGTGCGGGCGTGCGGGCGTGCGGGCGTGCGGGCGTGCGCACGCGCGTGCGTGCGTGCGTGCGCGTGTGTGGGTGTGTGGGTGTGGGTGTGGGTGTGGGTGTCGGTGTGTGCTTGTGTGTGTTTGTGTGGGTGCGTGCGTGCGTGCGTGCGTTTGCGTATGTATGCACATATGAGGTTGTAACACTCGTGCGCGCATTTGGGCGGCATGCAATTCGCGTATTTGTAACACCCGGGTCCTACCGGCGTCAGCGCAGGAGGAAGCCTTGGCAGACCTCTGCGCTGGGCGTGCTGCTGGCGGGGGGTGGTTTGGGTTTATTTTTTGGGCAGCCTCCAGAAGAAACAGAGACACATAATGACGCATGCTCATGCTATGGTCATGACAACTTAATTAGGGTTTAAAACCAGACATGTCGGCAGGGGGTCTTATAATCGGCAGGGGGTCTTATAATCCTGGCTTCCCAAGACACAAATTGGTTTCGCCAAACAACCAGGCAGGCCGATTTGTTCATGTGATAAATCACCCTCTCTGTGATACTAGGGCAGGAGGACCATCCTCTCAAGAGGAGTCCCTTGGTTTAGGGCCCAACTTTCCACAACCGTAGGTCTGTTCGAGATGCATTGGATGCGGTTTGAGGTATCTTGTTCGCATGAGATGGAGATGTGCTTCGGCGTTGCTTGGGGGAGAAGGAGGTTTATTCAGGACTTGACAGACGGACAAACGGTGCTGCACCTCGTTTTCTTAAGGCGTGCTTGGAATGCACATGGGCCCATCATTTTCAGTTTTCCAAGGGGAAGCCAAAAGTAAATAGTTAGTTGATCACACTTGTCAGACCTCGATTTGACACCACCAGAGGCGATTGTGGCCGGGAGCCTGGCCGGCGTGCAGAGTGTGCCGGCGACCTTGTACAACTTGGCCAGGGGCTTGGATCTTTGTTTTTTTAACAGGCTCGGTCGGACGAGAGTTTACGAGATGGACAGGGGCGAGCCAAATAGCATTGTTGCACAATGGCAAATGCCCATTCATCAAGCCTCGGCTAATTTTCAGGCGCAAACAAATGAAACCTAAATCAGAGGGCTTTGGGTGGACATTGGATGCAATGTTTTCCCGTGCACCCAGAAGACGGGTGGCTATAGACAAGTCGAACAAATCGGTCACTTTCTCCGTACGTTGGGTGCCCCACCCCAAAAAACGAGGAGTGCTAAAAGAGAGCCACAGAGGGCGATCTCCATCTGTCGTGCATTTTTGCACCCCATACGTAGGTTGGAGCCCCCACCCAAAATGGACACGTTTTGCTGGGGCGCATGAGGTTCACGTCTTTTTCATTTGAGCAGTGGTCCAAACCATCGGCCTACCTGGCTTCAAGGGGTTTTTGCAAGGCTGAGATGTCTTGGGAACAACGGTGGTGGAACCAAACGTCAGCTGGTGCCTTGGGGCGCTCATCTGACCGCGTTGTCCGAGGCGCACCCGCAGTACCCCTCCACCGCCGTGGTCTTCCCCCAGTGCGTGGGGGTGTGGTTTGCCTCTACGGCCACTGAGCACGGAGATCTGGATGGCCTTTTTTGGGACACAGCCAGGAGATCCTCTTGAAAGTGATGAAGTTGTCACGATGGCAAACATCAGGAACCCTGCAACCCCCCCAACACTCAAAGGGTCACTCAAAGGGTTCAAGAGGCCGTGAGGCCGGAGAAGCACCAGACCAGGCCTTGCGGGTTGGCGAAACGTTGGATTTCGATTAATCGAACTCCCCCCCTTTCCCCCCATCCCAAAGCAAAAAAAACCACGGCAGTTCAATCCGAGGCAGGGTGGCGCGAGTCAACCGACCTGTTGAAGCCATGGTGCGCACCCATTGTTTAAACAGTCTCCTTTGGCCCCTTCTGTCGGGAATGCCGAGCCGGTCTGGTTTGAAACAGTTTTGCAAACAACCGCCGAAAAAGTCGCCTCACAGGATACGGCCAATCAAACAATCGCCCCTATGATCAGTTTAGAGGCTTCAGATCTTGCAAAGCAGGTCCTTTGAGACATCTTCTGTGAGGTGGATGTCTCTGAAAGGGTTCGCATCCCAAAACCACCAGCCTTACCCGGATTTGGATCCTCCAAATCAGCCGACTTTCCGCTTCGACGTGGCTAAGTCAAGTCCAAGGGCATCTACCTGGTCTACTCCACGATGGCGGGGTTGCGGAAGCGCCCGGTGCTGCATGCAGTGATCCGTCCCGCCTTTGTGAGCGGCTGCATTTGGGCGCTGGGTTTCCTCTTTATGATCAAAGGCATCCACCAGCCTCCTGGCCGAAGCCGGGCGGAAGCAGCCGGTCGTGGCTTTGGCCAGATCAAAGAATCAGAGGATGGCTGTTCATGATCTGCTCAAGCTGGTTTATGATCTTTTCCGCAAGTTCTAGGCTCCAAAGCCTGAAGCAATAAGACGCGGATCCCCTACCCCGCTTTCCTGGCCAAAAACAAGCAGATCCGGTTGATTCCAACCCCCTGACTAATCAGTTGGGGGCTCTCAAAGAGGCCAGCAGAGGTTTTGGTGTGGTCTTAATTTGGTAGAAAGCCTAACCCCAAGCTGCAGCGCCGGGCAGTTGGCGAGCGGTTGGTGTGTTAAGTTGCTTCAACATGAGCTGGATAACTGCCCCCCTGCTTTGGGCTCACCTTATATTAAAATGAGCTAAGGTTAGGGTTCTTTGAGCAAGGTTAGGGTTGCGGTGTTCAGACATTGTTTGGCTGCCAGTTCCAAAACAGGGGGGTACTTTGGGCCCTCAAAAAGCCAACGAGACGTTCATTTCGAGGACTCGTCTCGGGTTCCGAACCTCGGCTCGCCTCGGCTCGCGCCGCATGGGAGGTTTCAGAACAGCTACGGGCTGCATTTTCAAACTATAGTCATGATGGTGGTAAGGAATTTGCATTTCGGGTTCCCCTTGCAGAAGCCTCCATGGCCGCCATGGCGTCGGGGGAAGGATCAATAGGTGCCCTCCCACGGGTTTAAACCGGGCTTTCCCTTTCTGAAAGAGCACATCTCATCCGGGCCCACCCAAGGAAAGGCTTGGCAGGAAGAAAGGGGCGGAGCCAGCACCGATGTGAAGGGGACAGGGAATTCAAGCAGGAAGTTCAGCTTCCTTTCCTAGGACAAACGTGTCTTCGAGCAAGGCTTTGCAGCAAAGATGTCTTTCTTCCAGGTCCCGTTGTTTTCCAACATGTTTGTTCCTTTCGGCGCCTTGGGCTTCATTGGGCCTCCTTCGGGATTCTTGCCACCAGAAGAGGACCAACAGCTTCATCGGCCCTGCTGCTTTTTCTTTGCCGTTATCCCCCTGAAATAGCAACGAAATACCGGAAAGAGAGCATGATGGGCTGCCAGTGGGGCCCCCCAGTCGGCCGAAGCAGGTTGGGCTTCGCCGTCGGCTACACGCTGGACGCGGTGGGGCCCATCATTGTAGCCAGCCTCCTCTCCATCTGCTGGTTCCGGGAAATCACGGGCAGGCGCCAGCTTATGCAACTCGCCATCTGAGTCTTTCATGAACGTGGGAAAAGAGCAGGAGAAACAATTCAAGGGTAGCATGTGGGGGTTTTGCTGGGGGGGTGGGGTGGGGCCAGGACGGTTGTTCTATCGGCTTGTCGTTTTGGAGCCCACGTGCCCCGTTGAGCCTTGCGGTTTTGCAAAAGCAAGGGGGTTGTGGAACTGAGGTTGGGCGGCTCACACGTCTATACCAGGGAACCCTTGCTCCCCCCAAAAGGTGATGCCCATTACGCAGGCCTTCCGCTAGCATTACAGCAGTCCGCAATTATCACCCAATTTTTGTTGGCAGGGTCTTTGCAGGGATTTGTGCATCGAATTGCTAGGACCTGCATCAGGTGGTTAACAGCCCGCAGCGATCTTGCACAGCCTTGGACCAACTAAATCTTGAAGCATGTTTTGAAACAGCTGCGTCATTACAGCAGCAGCAATGGCTCACAGACTGTGCTTAGCATGTCCGGCATTGGTATTTATCCTTTGGAGAACTCTTTGGAGAATCCCTTTCAGTCCACTGAGTGTTCTCGTTACCGCTACCATTTCGGCCCTTGTGTTTACCCTTTGGTCTTGCCTTTCAGTCGGCCGAGTATTCCTGTTCCCGCAAACGTCGCTACCATTTTTGCATTGGTGTTCACCCTTTAGAGAACCCTTTCAGTCCACCGAGTGTTCCTGTCAACATGTGGCGTTGGTGTTTACTGATTCCGACAAAAGCGCCAACACGGGGGAGCCCGCGTTTAGTTTGGCAAAGTTGTCCAGAGATCATTAGGGTGCGTTTCTTCCACAAGGGAAGGGTCTCAAAAATGGGACGCCCCACTCTTACCAAGCCTTTTCATTAATCCCAGGGTTCCCATTTCGCATTTGCTTGGCCATGCAAGTTTCCAACTGTCGAGGACGCGAGGCTTGATTTGTGGTGTTTGCTTTGTCGCATTTGTTCGATTCTCGGCTCCAGCGGTGGCTATGTCTTCGTGGTGTTCACTTCCCGTTTTACTTGCCGCATGTGGGTGTGGCTCAAATTCAAACAGCTGTGGTTACTCAGGTTTTAGTCTTTGTTTCCATTTACCAAGGTGCAATTTTAAGGTACGGGTTTTTTGACCCACAGCCTTGTATGCCTATTTCACCTTGTGTTGAAGACGTCCCGCTACGTGACGCGAAATCGCCCCAAGGATTTACTGGACAGCGGAGGGGCTGCAGCTGATCGGCGTTGTTCTCATCACCGCGTTCAGCAAGCAGTGAGGGGCCCACGGTCCCGATTGCTTCCCGCACAACGCCCTTCCAGCTAGACTCAGGATGCTATTTTGTCAGGGGCGTACCAAAGCAGGACCTAGCTCCGATCATAGTTCCGCTGCTAGGTAGGAATCTAGAAGCTACTAGAGCAGGGCCTGGCTCCAAGATTTATGGCTTGTCCGCGTTAGGCATCGAGTTTACCAAAGCGAGCCTAGCTCCAATCATTGCTTGTTCGAGCAATGTACTGATTGATTTTAACGGCAGCTGCCACGGAAAAAGGCATGGTGGGAAACAGTTGGTGTACAGAGGGTCCAAGGCAGATGGCGCCTATCACCTTGCCCCAGGATGGTTAGGCTCGGTTGGTGACAAGTTATATAGGGGTTTGAATTGGGGCCCTCACTTGAACATTTTTTCTCCTGGCTTCCTTTCGCCAGAAAAGGAACGGGATTCTTTGGGGATGTGAAGCTGGCTTGAATGGCTGGTTTGCAAGTGTCCATTTCTGAGCAGGTGATGGGCCAAAGAGCACCTTTTGTAAAGGGTTGTCGCTGACTGATATGCCTTTGCAGGCGGTAAGACAAAGGGGGGGTGTTCAAACCACAAGTCAGGGGCAAGGTGAGTTAAGTGGGCACAGAGCTCTTGCACTGGTCAAAGGTACCAGTCAGATTGCGGCTGGGCTCAGAGAGCACGTGTGTAGAGATGCCAAGAAATAAAGTGGGTACGTCGTCGTTTTGAAGGGAAGCCAACATCGGTTGACTTGGTTGCAGTACTCCCAGCCCGACTGATCAAAGCAGCGAAACTGCGCCTGATCAGCGCTGCCAAGCTCGGCGGCTAAAGACCCAGACCCTGCCGGCCTGGCCCAGCCAGAGTCGAAGCAAAAGGACGTTGAGCAGCGGAGGCAGTCATGAGACGTAGGTTGCAACGGCATTTCAAAGCAAAGGCTCCTTTCTCCGAAAGCCCTTTGTCCAGAAGATAATACTATGAGCTAGGGTATGCGTCGGATTTTACAGGTGGCAAGTATAAGCTACATGTATATAGCGCCTGCAAATATACGAGCACATGTCGTGTGTGGTACTCTTTATGGGGTTGTTGTAAAGGGATACCAAAGGAAAATGGGGTTCTTGAACACAGATACAAGACCTTGCCATGGTCAACATACTTGTAATTGGTAGAGATGGTCATGTAGAGGCAGGCCCATGATTTCAACCTCGACGCTGCGACGATTCGACGGGCTCAAGTCGCCCCAGGCTCTGTGGGCGTTGCGTTCGAATCAGGGCCATGACGCGTTTGCTTCTGTGCGCCCTGCCGCTGGCTCTGGCTTTTCCGGTGCCGCCGGAGCAGACCGACGAGCAGACGAGCTGCCCGGAAAGGACAGCTACGGTTTTGCGCCGGGGAGGGAGAGAGAGAGGCGCATAGGCGAGGGGATCCAATGAGTTGCTGGCTTTTTCAATGGCGGTCCATTGGATTCGGTGGTGGCCTGGACAGGCTGAAATGTGATGAATCAGGAAGTCCACGGTTGCCCTTGCGAGAGAAGTGTTGTTTTGGTCACTTCCCTTGGGGCTGTTTTTGTTCTCTAAAATGAACATCATCAACTCCAAGGTCAACGGACCTTCATTTTGTTTGTCAGTTGTTCTTGGTAAGCGCGTTTTATCCGCGGGTGAGCTCTCTACGATGAAGCGGTTGGCACCTGTTTTGGACAGGCGGAAAGCTACAAAATTGCTCCAGCAGGTACGTTCTGTTAGAATCGTTAGAACCACCCCCCTGAAAAAGGTTCCCTCCAAAAATGACAGACCATTTGCTTTGCCCGGGCCAAGATCCCATTTAATCGATGAACCCCAGTTGACCACAGAGTCACTTGTGGACCGGTTTGGTCAAAGGGGCTCTGGGCTTTTAGTTGTTTTCCAGAAAGAAGGATCCCTGGAGAAAAATGCCCCCTCACCTAACCCCCTAGTCCTATTCGCTCAGCTAAGTCTCGAGACGTCTTGACATGCCTTTTGGTTTGGAAGCTCTTGCTTGTGGCCTTTCCTGGCTATCGTAGCTGGCTAATTTCTGCTGGCTGACTTGCTTGCGGCCTGTGTCTGTCTCGGCCTGGCTTGGCCGTCTCTCAACCTCGCGCAGGTGGCTAGAGTTGTCGCACGGGGTTGGGGGGAGTGTGGGGGAATAGCGCACGCTGTCCATTGCGCCGCCAACGTCGAGGTGGTGGCGTCACGCGGGGTTGGGTAGCATGGGATCGTAGCTCGGAAGAAAGGTTGGGCTGCAGCAGTGGTCGAGTGCAGGCCACAAGAGAAGCCTTTAACACAGGTGACAGAAGCAGTCGGCGCGGAGCTTGGCCGGCGTGAGGCGTGGTTGCCGGCCGACAGCGCACGTAGGCTCCTGAATATGGATATGTTGACGTCCCCTGTACCCGGCATGCAGGTTGGTAACCCTTGTCAATTTCACGTATATTTCTTTTGTTGAGCTTGTTTCTGCGACCCGCCATGGGCTCTCGAGGCATTTTTCAGTCCGCGAGCAAGGCGGCCCAGGCGGCCAGCGACGTCGCCACCCCCAAGGTGTGGTGGGCAAAGACTTGGATCGGCCGAAGCCTTTGCGGTCTCCAATTTTTCCTATATTCTTTAGGACGCCAAACCCTCTCCCAATTTCCCTAAGATTTACTGGGTGACTTCCGGCCTGATTAAGGCCTTATTCGGAGGACATGGCGTGGGGCTGGGTCCCATAAAGGAATCGACTCCCTGGCAAAGTTGGGGTAGGATCCCCACTAAAAAGGGGAAGCAACCTCGAAAAGGGTGTTCTTTTTGATCTCGAAAAGTTGATTTTTATTTTTTCCCAGATAGCTGAAAGCCATAGGGGTTCTAACTTCTAATAAAGAAGGGAAAATGAATTGCGAGATTGAGGCCGGGTGCTGGGGGGCATGCAGCTTGGGGTGCTGGTGGAGGTGCTTTTTTGCGAGCTTGACGGCCGGGTGCTAGGGGGCATGCAGTTTGCAGTGCTGGTGGAGATGCCGCTTTGCGAGATTGACGGCCGGGTGCTAGGGGGCATGCAGTTTGGGGTGTTGGTGGAGGCAAGATTGACGGCCAAGTGCTAGGGGGTGCTGGTGGAGGTACTGTTTTGCGAGATGGACGGACGGGTGCTAGGGGGCATGTAGTTTGGAGTGCTGGTGGAGGTGCTGTTTTGCGAGATTGACGGCGGGTTGCTAGGGGGCCTGCAGTTTCGGGCGCTGGTGGAGGTGCCGCTTTGCGAGATAGGGGGCATGTAGTTTGGGGTGTTGGCGGGGGTGCTGTTTTGCGAGATTGAGGGCCGGGTGCTAGGGGGGCATGCAGTTTCGGGTGCTGGTGGAGGTGCCGCTTTGCGAGATAGGGGGGATGTAGTTTGGAGTGCTGGTGGAGGTGCTGTTTTGCGAGATTGACGGCCGGGTGCTAGGGGGCATGCAGTTTCAAGTGCTGGTGGAGGTGCCGCTTTGGCCGGGTGCTAGGGGGCATGTAGTTTGGAGTGTTAGTGGGGGTTCTGTTTTGCGAGATTGACGGCCTGGTGCTAGGGGGCATGCAATTTCGGGTGCTGGTGGAGGTGTCGCTTTGCGAAACGTGCGGCCGGGTGCTAGGGGGCATGCAGTTTGCAGTGCTGATTAAGGTGCTGGTGCCTGTGCTGTTTAAGGCGCTGATGGACGGCGGTTGGGCACTCAGTTTGGGGTGCTGTTTGAGGTGCTGGTGATGGGCAGGCGCATTCTTGCAAGATTGATGGCTGCATGCAGTTTGGGGAGCTGATGCAGCTGTTTTGGGTACTGTTTGGGGTGCTGTTTAAGGTGCTGCTAACGTGGGCGCAATTTTCGGAGATTGCCGGCGGGTGCTAGGGGGCATGCAGTTTGGGGTGGTGGTGCAGGTGCTGTTTTGTGTTGCCGTTGGAGGTGCTGCTGACCGCGTGGGCTTATTTCCCAGATAACTCGAAACCATAAACTTCTAATGGAGAAGGGGAATTGTTTTGCAAGATCGACGGCTGGGAGCTGGGGGGCATGCACTTTGGGGTACTGGCGCAGGTGCGGTTTTGGGTGCTGTTCGGTTCAGGTGCTGGGTGCTCGGGGACGTGTCCGGCGCTGGCGCGGATGCTGCGTTGGGGTGCTTTTGGGGCTGCTGTTTTCGGGTGTTGGTGATGGTGCGGGCGCATATGGATGGCAGGGTGCTAGGGCGGGTGCCGTGGTTGTCGCATCATCATGATGCTGGCCGCAGCATCATGGTGCTGTCAGCAGCATCATGTTGCTGTTGAACCGATTCGGACGTTGTTGCTGCTCTAACTGTCGCGCGTAATGGTGCGCGGCTGGTGTATCATCATGATGTCGTCAACCACGTTATGATTCTACTACAATCGCTGCGATGCCGCGTTATGATTCGTGGGTGTGGTGCCGGGCATAATGCAGTCAGCGTCAGATGCCGAATTTCATTACACTGTCGCAAGATGATTTGTGGCTGTGGTACCATCAGGATGCTGCCTTTGCCATCACCATGATGCTGTGAGCATCATCATGATGCTGTCCGCATCATCATGATGCTGTCGAACTCATCAGGACGTCGTCTCTGCCTTTTCCTGCTAGATATGTAGCACGGAATCGTTCGTGGCTGGTGTATCAGCATCCTGTCAACATCATCGTTTTGCGGATGGACTCACTAGGATGTTGTCTGCGCGTCTATGTAGCGCACTATGGTGAGTAGCTGTGGTATTTTCATGATGCTGTCCACATTATCAAGATGCTGTCAACATCATCATCCTGCCGCGGGAACCATTATGATGCTGCGTCATGGTTCGTAGCAGTGGTGTGCTATCTGGGGTCTATGCAAGTGTAATTTATACACAAAACCAGGCAACCCAATGTGGGGATGCCTTCTCTCTTGCTTGCAGGCTCTTGTCACTGGTCATAGAAGGATACCCACTCAACTCAACACAGCATTTTAATTGGTTGGACCCATACGCTAAACACACGCTGCTCCAAGTGCGTTGTGATGTGGTTGCAGGTTGTTTGGCATCGAATCGCCAAGAACAATTTAAGGGTGGGTTGTCCCCTTG